GAGGAGGAGGAGGAGGAGGAAGAGGAGGAGGAAGAGGAGGAGGAGGAGGAGGAGGATGGACCGATAATCAACGTGGGAGGTTGTGCTGTATTGTTGGTTCGATGTGGACTGGTTTGTGTTGTGATGTGTATTCTGTACTGGGGTGTGATTAAACCAGCTGCTGCCTTAATAAACACACAAACTGGGTCGCTGGTTCTGGTCACCTGCCTTGTTGTTCTGTTCATCCTTATTATTGTGATGTCTAGTCTTCCTCCTTCCTGTCCTGACTGGTTCTGCTCAGCCTGTAAGTTTAGCTACTATCCTACTAACTCTGCTTCAGCGTGTTAGTTTCTGTTGGACCTGCTGCTGTAACTTGGTTCTGACCTGTCTGGACCTGGTATCCGCTCTCATTCCAGCTCTGTGTGTTTGTTTTGTGATATTATTGATCAGGTAAAGCTGTTTGATTTGATTTGGAATTTTAAAAGCTTGTTTTTTTTTTACCCTTTTTCCAACATAAATGTAGGATTTTAACTTTTTAAACATTTGATCTGATTGGTTCTGGACTCTTTTTGTGCCGTTACAGACCCACAAGCTGGATGTTTGTTGTGTTTTTCTATATTTCTGCACATGTGCACTGTGTCCCGTATACTAACTAGTATTCATGCACTGCTGCTCATCACATGCTGCTGCTGTTTTTCTTTGTTCTTGTATTTCTGGTGTTTTGTATTTTTAATGTACGGACGCCTGAATGTTCCCCTGACGTTGATAAAGCGTTCGTCCATGTAAACTCAGTGACAGGTTTGTTGTAGAGTTTCAACTGAGACTCGTTCTGACACTTTTCCACCGGCCTGTGGTTGAAGTGAGAGGTTCTGATGCAGCTCTGAAGTTTATTCTCCTGTCTTGAGATGAGTCTGCACCGCTGCACCCTCTGCTGGCTGAAAATGCAATTACACCACCTAGATATTGCTCTATTGATAAGATACAGACATCTATGTATTGATCTATTGATCTATTGATCTATTGATAAGATGCAGACCACTGGTTGGAAGCTGATGGTTAAATATTGGTTTGAATATTTTTAAATTCCATTTTTAAAAATTTGTTTTACATATATTTCAACACGATGATCAGACAAATGACCCTCGTCACATTATTTAACTGCATCTTTATAGTTAGAATTTTACACAGTATTTTTATATAATTCTGCATTTTGTATTTTTTACAAGAAAAATAGCTATTTTATTTATAAACACATATGAGGCACTACTGTGTGTGTGTGTGTGTGTGTGTGTGTGTGTGTGTGTGTGTGTGTGTGTGTGCGTTAATTTTTTTTTAGTTAAAGCAAAACTATTTTATTATATTTCTAAAATATGATATTTTGCATGTAATAAATGAATTTAAAATAAATTAACAAAAAGCATCACAACGCTGAGTCTCTGTTAATTATTTTAGGTTTTTAAAATACAATAAAAATTAAAGGTCAATCCGACACATTACAACACATTTAGTTTTAGGCTTTAATAATGCTTTTTTTGTTTAAATATATATATTTTTAAAAAGCAATAATATACAACTACAATTTCATAAAAATATCAATTGTAAAAAATAAAAAGGAATAGAATTATTAAATTAACGCTGTTGAAAGAAAACAAAATGCTACTTAAAAATTTAAATATTGTGATTTATAAATGTTATTAGAACATGTGATATATTATTTAAGAGGCCTACAGCATCAGATTAAATGTAATAATGAGTGAATAAATGCTCTGACAGGGTATTTATGGAGGTATTTAGATGATCTGACGGAGTTTAACTGCTCAGCTCTTGGTGTCACCTGCAGACTGAGCATCAACCAGCTCGTCTGTCAGCTTCCACTCGGTTCATCTTCTGCCCAGAATCATGGAGGGAATAAATCCTCACACTTTCCTTCCGGTGCCGGATCCACGTCGTATATTTCAAAGTTATCATACTGAGAGACCAAATCAAACGGGTGTATTTCCAGCCCGTTTAGAGAGGAGTTATATCACAGCCTGCAGCACCTGATTCAGGCTCTCTGAGACCCGGCTGGTGTCAAACACATCCTGCTTCCTCCCTGACTTCACCACCAGAGCTTCATCTCTCATCCACTCTGGTGTGTTTTCAGCTCTTCTGCTTAAGACAGAAAGCTGCGTTACTTATAGACCTGGTGGCAGCAGCAGGAGCCCTGCAGCTGCCTGTGGTGACAGCAGTGGTACCACCAGGACTCCATCCAGAGGATCAACCACCAGCTGGGCCTGAACCGGCTCCCAACCCCCACCTGGTGGCCAATGTCGGTACTGCAGCGTTCAAACACAACATCGTGACGAAGTTACTGGAGTTAAGTAAAGTGAGAAAAAGTACCATACACAATAAATTCCTTAAATTAAAAGGTGGTAGAACATTATTATTTTTAAAAAAGGCATAAAAACAGGTCCAGGTGGGTTTGAAAAGCAACAGGCCTTTATTTCGGAGGACTAGAGGCCTTCTTCTGGGTGTTCTGACCCACCTCAAGTGCCAGAACCTGGATTTTTGTGCCACTTGTCATTTATCTGTTTAGTGTACTTTTAATTCTTTCACCCGTCTTTATCATTATTCCCTTCCATGGTGGTCTGAGGAGCACCAACGACACTCCTGTTACTTTATATTTATCCTCAAATTGCTCATAATAATCAGCACTCACCTCAGGAAAGCTACCGGTGGATCAACTGCTCCTCAGTGGAGCGAGTGACTCACAGAAGACAGATTTAAAGGACAACAGATGAAACTCTGAGCATCAGAGGCGTCGCTCTTTGAGTTTTTATACATGTAGCACAACAGAAGCTTCCAAACGGATCCATTTATAAAGTTCTGGAGGTTTTCTGAGTCTGTTGGCAGAATAACAAAAGCAGAGACAGAACACAACATGGAAACGACTTGAAGTGAGTCAGACATGAACAGATGACTCGTGTGGCTCCAGTACGACCCTAAAGAAGTACCATCATCTGCAGGCCCGGCTGCTGTACGTCCTGCATCATGACGGCGTTTATCCCGCTCAGAACCGGTACCAGTCACTTCCAGATCATCAGTGGATGAAGACGAGCAGCCGAGTCTGGTTCTGTGAGCCTGATGCTGTCACTGTTTGGGATCTACCTGCTACAGAGAACCTGATGTTTTTAGATCATTTCTGATGCTTTCACCAGCACCTGGATCTCCACCATCCTCTGTTAAGGCCTCCAGCAGCAGGCGTTCAGTCTGAGCCTCAGGAACGAGTGTGTTCATCAGGAGGTCATCCACATCGAGCTCATCGCCGTCTGCTTGTCTTCAGAGTCCTTCACTGGCAAAGACGAGGACAGACTCTGGTTCTGTTGTGGTAACCCTGAAACATGCTCATATGTTATGAGAATGCTATAATATATATAATAATACGTCCCATACAGTCGAGCTGCTCACTTCAGTTTCTTCCTCGATTCATTTAATAGTTTATGTTTAGCTTCCGTTCTCTTTATTTGATCCGGTCACGTGTTCTTCCTCCTCCACCAATCAGCCTCCAGCAGGTTAACGACACACCTGAGACGCTGTTGGTGCGCTGACGTGTGTCTTCAGCTTCTCTACAGCTGACCCAGTCAGTCCGGTTCTGTTCACTACAGATGTTTGTTCCTGACATGCTGCCCTTCCATAAAGCACCTGGTTCTGTCCGGTGATCGGATCCGTTTACCGTCCTCACATCCATTTTTACTCATTTTTAAACCCATTCTGCAGGTTCTTCACACCGTCTTGTGTTTCTTTTACATCCTACAGCTTCACATCGCCCTGAAATCAACCTGCACTGCTTCACACATGAAGATCAAACTCGTCTCTATCAGCGATTAAAGGTCCAGTAATTATTCTAATTGTCTAAAATACAGTCGGTTTAGGGTTCGTTTTAAATGGCCCTGATAAGACATGAACATTTTATGAGACATCAGTGAATCTTCTTTCTTTAAACAGTCACTAACTAACTTCTCAAACAGGACTTCACTCCTCTGTGTTACATGTACGATGATGAATGACTGATGAGCTGCTAAACGTGCAAACTCAGCTTAAATTTTATAAATAAACTCCATGAATTTCACAATGAGGAAACACCAGAGGCAATTTAAGCAAAAGAAAGAATAAAGAAAAAATTAAGAGGAGGAAAAAAAAGACATTTATAATAAAGTAAAATCTGAAAAAAGATAAAACAGACTAAAATATATAAATAAATAGACTAATTAATACATAATTAAAAGTGAATGACAGCCAGGCTATAGAGTGATTAGCTTCTTTGTGCAAATCTCATAAATGAAACTCTCCACTAAGAAATTTTATGTCTGATCAGCGACAGTTTGAGGTTTTGTTTTAAACATTGGAGCCCAGATTTGGTCAAACTGCACCGTTATGCTTCGGCCACTAGATGGCAGGATTGCCTTAGTTTTTATGTAGTAACACTGTTAAGTTTCTTTTTTAGCATCCATTAGTTGTAGTTTACGTTGTGCTCACTACATCATGGTTTATTATATTTATAACAATGTCAGGAAACAGCAACACCTGAACCACGTGACTCTTATGTTCTCCACAGGAAGCCACTCTGTGCTGTTAGCCTCCACCAGCCCTGATGGACCCAACATGAAGACTAACAGCAGCTGAACCAGATCCGATCGTGACACACTTGCTGTCCTTACTGCCGGTGCACAAGAAGAGTCTCTGGTTCTCTGGAAAAACACGCGTTTGCTTTTGTTTGCAAGGCCGTCACGTGTCCATATGCACATATGGATCTTCCTGCGTGGAGTCTCCATGTTCTCCCTGTGCAGCGTGGGTTCTCTCCGGGTTCTCCGGCTTCCTCCCACAGTCCACAAACATGCTGAGGTTAATTGGTGATTGTAAATTGTCCGTAGGTGTGAATGTGAGTGTGCTTGGTTGTCTGTCTCTAAGTGTAGCCCTGTGATAGACTGGTTACCTGTCCAGGTGAACCTGCCTTCACCCTGAGTCAGCTGGGATAGGCTCCGCCCCCCATGACCGTAGTGAGGATGAAGGTGTAGAGATGATGGACGGATGTGGAAACGCTAATGTTTTCTGACGCTCTGTCACAGAACTAAAAAAATACGTTCCTCTTCATTGGACGACTTTGTTATGAAGCCAACAACAGGAAAATCTCTTGACTGAGGAAATCTAGAACATGTTGGTGACGGACATGAGACCCTGTTCATGGTTGTGATCGAGGTTTCAGAGAGACGATCGAGCAGTTCAACCCAGATGACCGTGATAACAACCCACCAAGCAGATCCCACTTCACCACAATGATGGAACTCAGTCATGAGCACTGAGCACAAAATGCACTTTTGTTATATCTGAGTGAGACCAGAACTTATTTTTTGTGGATAAAGTCTAGTTTCAGTTCCTACCTCATTTGATTTTGCAGCTACGTTTCATGTCACAGACAAATGAAGCAAAGAAAAATCAGACTAATCACAAAAATAGTCGGTGACCAGCTGACTGTCAAAGTTGTCGTTTGTGGCAGCCTGAGTGCACAGTGATGCAAAAGAGCCGGTACCAATAACCTCCAGCACCGGGTAGAGCGGCTCGGTGAAGGTGCAGTGGAAGGTGTGGATGTGGGTCCGAGTGTCTGAGAAGACCCTGTAGAAGGACAGAGTGCCAGCGGGCCAGTCCAGATACACCGCCACCCTGCAGGGACTGCGAGAGGACGGTACCGATGAGACGGTGCCCTTTCCGTTGTACCAAGCAACGTTCCTGTAGTCCAACCCCCACGACTTCTTGTTCCACCCAAGCAGGGAGTCGTCCGCTTTGCCTTTCTTCTCGATTCCTCTGTACGCTACTCCCACTGAAACCGGTCCCTTCCACTCCACCTCCCAGTAGCACCGCCCAGTCAGGCCGTTTGTACACAGAACCTGGCGCCTGAACTGAAACCTGTCTGGGTGATCCGGATACGGCTGCTGCTCGCTAACCACAGTTGCCGTCTTGCGATCCTGAGACAGGAGGAAGTTCTTGTACGCTGTGTTTGGGTCCAGTGTGAGTTCACAGGCATCTGGCAGGAGGACAGAAGACTCCACTTAGAACGTAGCTCGAACTCACACGATTAGTTTTTTCATTTTCACAGATGTCAAGGTCACATTTTAATTTAAACGTCATCTTCTGGTGAAGCAGGTGAAAAGTCGTATGTTTAACTCTTTCCATTTTAGATATTTAAACGGCGTAAAATGACAAAAAGCCTAAAGAGCGTAGAAATGACATGAAAAAGATGAGGTGTGTAGATAAAGATTCATATTCTTTTCCGATGAGAAAACTCTGAAGAGCTCTAGGTTGCAAACTGCAGTGAGGCTGCAGTACAGCGCTGCCCGTATAGAGAAAGCCAGGACAGGAGCTGCTCTTCTTCATTGGTACTTACACTTTCTAGGCCCAGGCAGCATTCTGGACTCTCCACAGTGATCGACCCTAAAGGGAAGACGAGGGGACACTGTGTCATCATCAGCTCTATGGGGTTATCCTTACCAGGCAGGTAAGGAAGTCATACTGAGGTTGGCTGACGACCTAATGTTGGATCGCAGGCCGTAGCCACAGTAGAAATACCCACATTTAAAACAGCTGCATTTCCACCACGACTCCCCACAAGTTTAGTTCTAAAACTTCCTTAAACTTTTACTGGGTCTTCTGTTGGTCCGTCAAAGCAGAACGAATAAACGTGAGTGTGATTGCAGGTGCAGGTTTCTTAACATGTAGAGTGAAGGGGAGAACGTACTGACCACTCAGCCACGTTTGGATCCGCTCTAGAAGTTCCCAAATATTAGAAAATATTCAACCTTTAGAAAGCACAGCAGGGACCGTCTCTGGCACTGTGAAAGCCCAGTATATGAGCCATGTTTACCTGAGGGTGTCCAGTCTCCACTGTGGATCCTCCAGTCCAGCTGAAAGCAGCTTCACCCCGGACTCTCCTGGATGGTTGTAGCTCAGGTCCAGCTCTCTCATGTGGGAGGGATTGGAGCTCAGAGCGGAGGCCAGAGAACCACAGCCTTGCTCCGTCACCAGGCAGCCTGACAAACTGTCAGACGTGCACATTTACATCACTTTCACACTTTTACTGTCACAGATGGGTCAGAAAAGTTCCAGGACTGGTGTCACAAGAGATAGATTTCAAATCCAAACTACCAGTGTTCTCCTTCCCAGTAACCCTCCTGGAGTCCACCACCCTCCTCCAGCCTTCTCTTCAGGCCGCCATGCCCTCCTGGAAGGATTCTTCAGGATCCTCTCAGCTCCGTCCTCACAGCCATCTTGATGTCGTCCACGTCTTCTAAACGGGTCTCCTTGATGAGCCCTTGAGCTTGGGGAAGAGGAACCAACCCCACAGAGCCAGGTGGGGTGAGTAGGGAGGAGATGTTCTCCTCAGCAGGAGCTGTGGGATGCTCAGGACGCTGTGAGCAGGTTGTCATGGTGACGCAGCCTCCACTGGTCCTGACACAACTCTGCCTCTTCTGGACGAAGCAAACGCTGCAGGACCTCTGTAGACGAGCTGGTTGATGGTCTGAAGGAGAAACTCCTGGTTGGTAGCTTGAGATCTATCTTTAGTGACACCAGTCCTGGACCTTCTCTGACACACCTCGTACATGCAGATGTTAAGATTTAATTCTCTTTATACAAAAACAAAGCTTCAGGACTACCAACCTCAGGCTTTCCAGTCTACAGTATGAGCTTTCTAGTCCAACTGACAGCAGCTGTACTCCCGGGTCGCCCAGGTCGTTGTTGCTCAGGTCCAGTTTCCTCAGACTGGAGGGCTTGGACCGGAACACTGAGGCTAGATAGTCACAGCCTTTCTCCGACATCCAGCACAAGCTGAGCCTGAACAAAAATTTAATTGAGTTATTTTTTCTTCTGGGTTGTACCAAAAGTGTTAGAGCATGACAGATGTGACAGAAACAAACTTAGAGTAAGAAAACAAAGTGAACAGACCTGAGGTTTTCCAGTCTGCAGTGTGGACTCTCCAGTCCAGCAGAAAGCTGCTTCACTCCAGCATCCTGCAGGTCGTTGTTGCTCAGGTCCAGCTCTCTGAGGCTGGAGTACTGGCCCTCACTGTGTAGGCAGAGCTCACAGGATCCCGGTCTAAGAAAAAAAGACAATTAACAAGAAATAAAATCCACAGGCAGCGTGAACACTAACAGTTTTCTGGTGTGCTTCAGCCAGCTGTACAATCCTTACGTTGTTATGATGGAAGGTTTCACAGTTAGCTGCTTCGCTCCTGGATTTCTGGTACGATGGTCCACGTCTTTGGGACGGGAGGGGCTGACGTTCAAGGCCGAGGCCAACGGAGCGCAGCCTCCCGAGGTGAGCTTACAGCGCGACAACCTGCGTATGACAAAGCTTCATTCACTTGTGCTGTCCATGCTCCTCTTGGCTCTGAACTTAGTTTGATCACCTGGATTTCTGTTTTTGACCTTAATTACATGTGGACTCTTGCTTTGATATCATCAGCAAACACATTCATAACACATCTTGCTCCTTTAAATGGTGTCGCTGCGGCTGTGGGTGGCTACAGCCGACTTGGGGCCAACGCGAGGTGCAGGAACATCCATGTGATCAGATCTTTCAGGCTTTCTCTTTTCACTGCAGTGTCGGATCTGACAGCTTCAGCGTTACCTCCTCGTGCACCGGTACAAAGGAAAATGGCAGTTACTGGACGCAACTCCGGTTCTAGGAGCACGAGAACAATTTAATGTGTTTGCCCTTATGTTGAATTTAGCATCAAGGGCACAGAAAAATGGCGCTTGTTGTCCACCCCGACTAGACCAGCTGTCTTCTCCAAGTGCGACCCGTCGGTGTCGACACCCACCAGTTTTTCACAGCTGATCAGGAATATTTACCCCAAGAACGGCCCTGAAAGAGGTTCTTGTGGTGGGAACAACGGTTCTACATAAAGACATAACACCAGTGGAATCGATATAAATGCAATATCAGCGTCCATCGTGATTATTCTTGTAATGAAAATGAATGTTCTTTCTGATAAAATGCAAAAAAAAAAGGTTCATTATTAGGCAGTGGCTCCAACCAACTGCTGGAACAGGAAGGAGAGAAAATGTGAATCCTAACAACGAGAGCATCACAAGAGCACAGAATGCAGCCCAGTGGAGGATACAGTAGTGCACATAAAAGCCCTCACTTCATTTAAACAGCATCAAGAGCACTGACCTGAGCGTCTCCAGTTTGCAGTGTGGACTCTCCAGTCCAGCAGAGAGAAGCTTCACTCCTGCATCCTGGATGTTGTTGTAGCTCAGGTCCAGCTCTCTCAGACTGGACGACTGCGAGCTGAGCGTTGAAGCCAGAGCTTCACAGGACGAGTGTGAGAGCTCGCACTGGCTCAGCCTGAAGTTAGGAATCAGACAGAGTGGGTTCAGGAAGGCATTTTGTTTTGACAAACAGCTGACTGAGGACATACAAAGCACCTCGTATTCAGTCTCATCAGGAGAGAATGATGTGACTATGGGATGCTGCTGTACGTTGTTGTGATGTTTAATGTCTGGACAGCTGGAGAATCTCAGCAGAGTGATGACAACCTCCACTCTATAGATATATTGAACCATATCATCCGACTGTAAGCGTTTAAATAACTTAAAACAGGTTCTTACAGGGCAGTCGTGGAGACTTTGACCAGTGGCAGCAGTCTCAGAAGAACCTCCTCTGATCTGGAGTATTTCTGGAGGTCAAACACGTCCAGCTCTTTTTCAGACAACAGTAACACGTAGACCAGAGCTGACCACTGGACCGGAGACACGTGGGCTGTGGAGAGGCTTCCTGCTCTCAGGTAGTGTTGGATCTCGTCCACCAGCGAACTGTCCATCAGTTCGCTCAGGCAGTGCAGCAGGTTGATGCATCTCTCTGGGGACGGATTCTCCCTGATTTTCTTTTTGATGTATTTCACAAGTTCCTGGTTGGTGTCTTTGCTGTTTGCTTTCTGCTTCAGGAGACCTCGTAGGAGAGTCTGATTGGACTCCAAGGACAGGCCCAGGAGGAAGCGGAGGAACAAGTCTAGGTGTCCGTTTGGACTCTGCAAGGCCTTATCCACGGCTTTCTTATAGACTTCAGTTGCAGATGCTTTCTGGAACAGCATGTTGAGGTATTCGAGAAGTGTTTGCGGTTCAGCCATCACATCACTGCTGTCGTTTACGAGTGACAGGACCACAAAAACAGCTGCCAAAAACTCATGGATGCTCAGATGAACAAAAGAGAACATCTTGTCTGCATTCAGTCCATCTTCCTCTTGAAAGATCTGCGTGAACACCCCCGAGTACACCGACGCGTCGCTCAGGTGAATGCCGCTGTTCTTCAGATCCGTCTCGTAGAAGATCAGGTTTCGTTTCTCCAGCTGGTGAAACGCCAGCTTCGCCAGCGATTTAATGATCTTCATGTTCTCATTCGTGCCATACTTTTTGGCGGTCTGTTTGATCTGAAACACCAAGAACTTTGCATACATCTCGGTCAGAGTTTGAGGAATTTCTTTGTTCTCACCTTCTCCTAACATCTGCGTCAGAACCGTGGCAGTGATCCAGCAGAACACTGGGATGTGACACATCATGTGGAGGCTTTGTGATGTCCTCACGTGGGAGATGATACGGCCACAGATCTGCTCATTTCTGAACCTCTTCCTGAAATATTCCTCCTTCTGTGGGTCGGTGAACCCTCTCACCTCTGTCATGATGTCCACAAAGTCAAGAGGGATCTGATTGGCCGCTGCTGGTCGCGTGGTTATCCAGAGGCGAGCGGCGGGGAGCAGCTTCCCCTGGATGAGGTTTGACAGCAATTCATTCACCAACAGCGGCTCGTCAGCAGAACATTCGTCCTTGTCGCAGAAGTTGAGGTGAAGGCGGCTTTCGTCCAGACCGTCGAGCACAAACAGAAGTTTAAATTTACTCTTGTCGTAGTTGGTGTTTCCTGAAGTCTGCAGTTTTCTGAAGATGTAATTAAGAGTCTCCTTTTCGATGTCTTGGCTCTCCCGGATACATTTGTGTATGAGCTCAGCAAGACGAAACCTCCTCCCCCTCAGTAAGTTCAGCTGGCGGAAGGTGAAGAGGAACGTGAGATGCATGTCCTGATTGGCTCTTCCTTCGGCCCAGTCCAGGATGAACTTGTGTACGAGGAACGTCTTGCCGATTCCTGCAATCCCATGAGTCAGAACTGTCCTCACGGGCGTGTTTTCCCCAGACGGGTGTTTGAAAATGTCGTTGTGCTGAATCGACCTCTCGGTTCCTTGTGGCCTTCTGGGTGCCAGCTCAACGTGCCTGACCTCATGCTGCCTGCTGACGTCCTCATCTTTCCCGTCTATGATGTAGAGCTCAGTGTAGATGTCATCCAGAAGTTTCTTGTCCTTCTGCTTCGACGACCCCTCGAGGACACACATATACTTGTTGTGGAGGTTTGACTGGAGCACGCGTTGGTACGACGTGATTGGTTGTGGAGGTGTTGCTCCTTGCACCAACAAATCTGAATGGAGTAAAGTCACATTATTAAGTGTTAAATAGTGTTTAAATATAACCCCTGAACGTTTTATAACATTTATGAGCAGAGCCACAGACTGAAGGCTGCTGGTGTGTGCATCTGTGGATCAATAAATAACATGGAAACCAAAAAAAACTAAAAATGCATGAAATAGTCTCAAAAAGTCTAAAAATAATCTGAGCTGCTTAAAAGGTTCCCACAACCTTCTAAAAATCCATTTCAGGTAGATTTTAGCTCATAATCCTGAATCAACAGCTGTTTGCTCATCAGAACGGTTTCACATGTGCAGCGGATGCAAACCACAAAAACATGGCATGAAATTATTAGAGCAGCTGCTAAACCCCAAACGAACTGATGCAGCTTCACCTTCAGCCTGTAACTCAGGGGCAGGAGGGTAAGAAGGAACCGCCTGCTGAACAGAACCAGCTCCTGTGGTCCTTAAAGTCTCACCAACATCAGCAGCAGCATCTGAGAGAGATGCAAAGAGAAAGAAAATGTTCAGGGAGGCCTTGACTTTCACTCTGGTGGAAACCACATGAGTGAAAGATTCAGTATCTTGTGTCTGTTAATGTGAAACTGGACTTTAGATTGCAGGACTTACTGCCAGGCTGAGCATCACTTTGTGGAATACACTCCACTAAATCATTCCTGCTGATCTTCCTCAGAACTTCGGCTGTGATCCGCAGAGCTCCATGAAGGCTGTAGGCCTGCACCATCTCATCCACCGTGTCCTGCCTGTCGGCCTTCTCAAGGCGGCATTTTGGGATAGCTGGGAAACCCTCTATGATGCCAGTCTGCCTCAGGAGAAACTGAAAATGCTTGAGCTCATCAGTCCCCAAGTCCTGCAGAACTTCCAGGAGGAGCTCCACGTGCGACACCATGACCGGTATCTGCTCAAACCAGAGGACAGTGTGATCATCAGACATCGGCTTCAGAAGGCTACTCAGAGGATCACACAGAAGACCAACAAACCATTTACATTTTATACTTTAGTGTCTCTGAGCACTGATATTCTCTCCATGATATTCCTCTCCAGACCAGACATAGTACGAGAAACGGTCCAAAAGTATGATAAACCTCTGTAGATACAGGTCAGGGGTTTCATGTAATATCCATCGTTAATCATCAGGATAAGGTAGAAATGTGAAGGCTCTGGCCTTGGTCTGATTCCTGGTGGCTGGTTTAAATATTTCTGAAACTAAGGAACTCCTTAAATTTCACCACAACAGATTCCAGCGTTTACTCAGAATGGTGAAGAACAAGAAACATCTGACGGAGGTCAGAGGTCAGACTGGTTGGAGATGACAGAGAGTCTACAGCAACAACACATCCAGCCCTGAGGCATGTGGGCGACAAAAGCAGAAAAACATGTTGGGTTCCAGTTTTGTCAGCCAAGAACTGAAATCCAAGACAGAACTTTGGCATCAGCAGCATGAACCTGTGGAGTCTATCTGCCTCGGGTCACCAGTCCGGGCTGCTGGAGATGGTGCCGTGTTGTGATGAAGGCTTTCTTGGCTTCCTTTGGCCCCCTTTATACCAGTCACAGCTTGAATGCCACAGCCTTTTAGAGTCTTGTTGTTGACTATGTGCATCACGTTGTTGCTACACAGAAAAGCACCATAAACCTCAAACTTCAGGACTTCTCTTAAAATGATGTCATTGGCATTAAATTGGAAAGCGGTTTGTGTCTGAACCATAAATGAGATACCATCAGCCACCTTCCAATCTTCACCTGACTCTACATGTAAGATCAGGAGAATTCCTCAGAGATCCACTAATGGATACTGATTGGAGGTCTGTGATTTACAACCTCTGATTCCTGCATGTCACGAATGGACAGAACTCCAAGATCAGTTTATATTTGTCATAGAGATGCAGGAAGACTGCTGGGAAAGTGGAGCCACAGACAGCAGTGGCTTACAGAGGACAGCTTAGACGGTTTAATGAAAAAACACTAAAGACACCAAACAGCAACAACAACATTTAAATGCTGCTTCAACGGATATGAACTGTCGTCCGTTAGTGGGGCTGGGCTTGACATCTACTAAACAGGGTGTGATGGCGTCTAACCATGAACATCTGAAACCGCTTTAAGGTGAAACACACTCACACTGAACAAACACAACCACATAAATAGCATCGTTTAGCATCGTTTACCATCGTTTAGCATCATTTAGCATCATTTAGCATTTCAAACAACACACTCGTAACTTATTCAGCCTTTGTTGAAGTACTTCAGTTCTATTTCTTAACTTTTGTATGTTGAGCTGTTTGTTTAAAGTTGTACTAGTCTTTGTTGTACCGGTGCTCGGGGATCCAAATCTCCTGCTGTGGCCATTTGACTGACTTCAGGCTGAACATGGCGACCAGGAAGCACCGGGCTTTTATACCAGAGCTGCCAATCAGACCGTACCAAGTGCCCGCTACTTCTAGGGGTGGACTTGTTCGTCTTAATTCAAATTTTACTTCATTTATTTGACTTGTGTTGGGTAATTACATACATTTTGGGTTTGTTTGTTACTGTTATTTTGATTTAGCAGATCAACTGTACTGTTCAGTGTTTTTTGTTGCTAGTTCAGGTGTTTTATGTCCCCCTATTGTGTGTAAATGGTCTGACCAGCCAGTGTTTTATCTCCTTTCTGGTTTTCTGGTCTGTCATGACTTTGTTCTGTTATTCTGTCCTCTCTCATAGGCCTGAGAAACCCTATTGGTTTTTGTACCTTTGTCATTTTTTAGGTCAAAAAAACTCAATGTTTTTTTAATTTACCTTTGAATTTTTTAAGTCCTTTGCAGCTTCCACAGAATAATTATTTAATATTATTATTTATTATTTTATTTATTATTTAAGACTCAGTCTTGGCTTATGAGTGTGGGCGTGTCTGTCTGTGTTATCCCTGCAATGGACTACAGGATGAAGAGGATGGAGGCAATATTAATGTACGTATGTAGAATGACTCAAAACATGAAAAGATGTCTTTATATTCAGTTCATTTTAATAAAAAAAACCCACAGAAAAGCCTGCTGCCTGCCTTGGCTGTATGCCTCAGTAAAAATCAACGTTTGTACAAAATTCCATTTAAATCTGTTCTGGGTTAAGTGTTGTGTGGCCTTAATATAGAAAGAGTGTGAAAACCTTTAAAACTATTTGGTCACACTAAGCAAAAGCCCATTATAATGCAAGAGCAAACATTACAACACATGAAAAAGTACATTTGAGAAATACCTTGACTAACTCCGCTTTCGTTCCTCAAGTCAAGACATGTCCACAACATCAGCGTTGTGCCAAAGGAGTAGCTCAGTGAAGAAACTGAAAGTGCAAAGAGTCTAGCGTTGGCTCCCACTACAAGTAAAATCCTTATCGTCCATATATTTGGAAGACTCCACTGAATCAAACCACCAAAGTCTCACCTAAAGGGAATAAAGTCTCACCTGAGCTCTGGTTTCTCAGGTGTGTTACAAACCAAGAAGGAGAACCAAATGAATTTCAGTCTCCCGGGAATTTTCCCTGCTCGTCTCTTCCCTTTCCACACACAAGAGCAGCATCAATCCAAACAGAGAAAGTTCAGAATAATTGTTCAACAATACATACATCGCAGGTGTTTAGTACAACTCATTTCACTTTGGCCTCAAGCCAGAGGCAGCAAAACACAGACATGATTCTGTGAGATTTCCTTTCAACTCTACAGCAAAGAATGTCACCAGAACATCCTCCCAATTCAAGATGATAAGACAGAAGATATACACGTTAAAAGACATCAGAACCATCCAGCCTCCTTCTTTCATCGCTTACCCAAATAGAACAACAATGGAAAAAGTATTTAATGATCTACTTAAATCAGAGCAAACGAGTCAGATCTTGTTTAAAGGGGATATTCAGGAGTCCGTCTGGCTCTGTTTATATATTAAAAGAGACAAAAATGGTACCAACCTGCCTGCTGATCCGCTCAGACTGTTTCCGTTGAATGCTGAAATGGGGAACTGAGCCAGGGGAAATAAATTTCTTTCTGCTGACTAAATCCAGCTTCACCTCATGCCAGTTCCTCATAGGCTGTCTTCACTGTGATCGTTTGTTCAGATGAATCTGGCCAAGTAGTAAAAGTAGGAAGAACAATTCATTTATAAACCTCTTCATTAATAGCTCGTGTGTTTTAGTTTTGCTCATCTTTAAAACTTCACACACATCCAGAACATTTCTGTGTTTTGCAGATTTTTGGAAACTCATGAGCAGAGGTGCCTCCAAGGGGGACCCAAGGGGGCCACGGCCACCTCTGAAGTCTCACTGGCCACCTCAGATCCAATAGGATAAGTTTGTTCACTAAAACCTGGACAAAATACAGCATCCAAATGAAACAGCAGCGATGACTGGAGCAGCTGTCATAGCAGCAGCAGGTCGGACTGAAGCATCACAAGGACCAAATACTCCGTTTGTACCTTTAGTTGACGGAAGTGCAGATCAGCTGTTTGTAGGCGTCTTTCTGGTTTATTAACACTGACATCCTGTTTCAGGTCAAATTTGACCCGTTTTCACATTTGACAGCAGTAAAAATACCCTAAATGTCGTTTGTTCAGCCTGAAATTTGATGACTTTTTCTACAGTGACCCAAAATACACAAAAATGAAAATATTTATATATTCATACACTTGTTCAGGTGCTACAAGTTTTTGTACTCTGAGGCTGTTTTGGGTCAAATTTGACCCGTATATCCATTTAGATGGATTTTAGATCTACCAGTGTGGGTCAAATCAAGGAAAATGGTGGTTTTAGGGAATCTGGAAACTGTGAATCTGTACAGGTCATGTTTTATGTGTATTTTTAATTACATTTATTAACGTAACATAGGTTATGTAGACATTCTACACAGATCTGTATGTTGAAATGTGGTTTAGACACTGAATATGAGGGAATTCTTGACAGTTTAATATGAAGGTGTAAAATATAAACAGCATGTAAGGGTTAAGTACCTGCAGCATCACACAGCAGGAGGATCCATATAAGTGCCTCAAAGGACAGATCACAGTGGTCCCGACATTAATTACCTATTATTGTTTTTTTGGCAGAAATTTTAAAGAATAAAAAAAATTCATAATATTTGTTAATTTATTCATGTGTCTTAGCAGCATTTCTGCTCCTGGTTGAAACGTAATACACATTTTTTTTTAAAAAAAACAACAAAGTGTTAAGTAGTGCAGTTGCGAGTGGGATGCGCAAAACTTCAACTCCCAGCATGCCTTGCAACCACACTGCCCAGTGACGTATTTCCGGTGGTGCTGTTGGCGGGCAGAACGGGGTCGGAGCTGGTTGTTAGCGACGCGGCGGAGGCTATTGTGTGATTCAGCAGCGAAGCACATTGCGGGAGAAGTCGCTCCACACACGCCGCCGAGCCTTCGGGTAGTTTTTTTGGTCGCCTCTGGCCTGTCTTCGGCTCGTTCCTCGTCCCCAGCAGACGCTCAAATCTCGGCGTCTCCACTCGGGCCTGCCCTTAGCCCATACAAGCGCTCCGAAGCTTTCTCTTTAAAGGTAAGGCTCGCTGTAGCTAGCTTGTGGAGGCAAAACACGCCAGCCATGTTGCCCTCTGGCTGCAGGAGTCAGGCCGCCTGGCTCGGCTCTGTGCTCGGGTTTTTTTATTTGTTTGTTTGGGGGTTTTTTTGTTGGTGGTGAATTTGCAAAAACGTTGCGTTCAAATCCAGTAGAACCGAATCGTTTGAACTTAGCATCCGTTCGTTATTTAGCCCGTGCAGCGCGACGCTTGCAGCGCGTGCAGACATGATGGGAGGACGACGTGCTGCTCCGGTTCTGACCAAACACCGGACTGGACGCGATATTCACTTTGCACACACGAGCCTTCCGTTTTCACTAAATCTGCCCACATGTGTGTGAAGTTGCCGCAGTGTGCGTTTTTTCGCTGGTCGCGCTCTGGAGCCGTGGAGGCGGGGTGTTTTCCTCTCTTGCTAGCAAACCACCGACAACATGTGAACGACGTGCAATCAGCTAAGGAGATAAAAACAACAAAAAGGGGGGTTTCAGGTTGAAAACTTTTGGGATGTTACTGGTTCAACAGTTTGAAATGTGTACCCGGCGGCGTTTTTATCTCCGTACGTGCTCCGCCCTCCGTCGGGCTCAGAGGGCGGAGAAGGTACAGAACCGAAGTTACCGTCCAACAACTGCCACCTGAGCTGTGGTGGTTTTGGTGCTGGAAAAAAAGAAAAAGTGTAACCAGCCTCCTATGCAGCCATTCATTCCCGCCTTTACCTGTGCATTTCATTAGATTTCTTCAGTCCATCACACCAGCAGCACCAGTTGGGGTCCAACGACTGACTGACATATAAGCTACCCAACAAATATGGACCCTGCAGGACCCACCCTTCTAGCCAGATCTCTCAATGATGGTAAAATTTAACTCAACATACACACAATGACTCACAACCAGTGGCCCAGTTGCGACCTTTAGTCCCCACTGTTGCTCTCAGGTGTAAGTAGTGTGCATGGAAGCTGTTTGTTAGGATGTATTCACAGATTGATTGCTCACATGTTTAATCGTTTCAGGCATATAACTGTGTGTGTACATTCAAAGCTTTGCCAAAGCAGAGGGACTTCTAGTGCTGCTGCAGAAACACTCTTTGCATGTGCACATCCTGAATTTATCCAACCACCTGTAAGTGTTTTGTGTACAAGCAGTTTTTCCTCGACATAGCAGCTGTCGTAGCTCTCCTAATGTAGGTGCACACATAACCTGATTACTGTAATTGATTAATAGTTTAGTGAAGGTTGAGCGAATTAGGAAAGTAAATGTTTTCTGTATTGCAGGTTGTAACACACTGAGCTAGTGGCCACATCCACAGAATGAATGTTTCACCATATTTGCTGTGTTTTGACTTCTTTAGATTTACTGTTTGTTTTTTGTCTTCTTCTTCCTCGTCGTGATGTTTAGATGACTGTGCTTTCTAACTCTGCTTGTGTTGCACTAAAACGCTCTAAACGATCATAACAGTGGTTTTGTATGCAAGGTTTAGTCGATAAGTCAGATTGTGTGTATTTGATGACAGCAGTGGTGGCGTTCTGTAGAAACTGATGATTTATTTATGGTTGTAAAATGTGATCTGGTACCTTCTGAAGATGTGTGCCTGTCTAATTGGGTTGTGGACGTTTACTTCACTTTAAAAAGTTTCAGTAAAGCTCCTTTTCACACTCCTGTCTGTTACTCTGAGACGTCTGCTTCGTGTCTCGATGGTCACTTTTCTGTAAAAGTCGCGACACCAATCTCACTAACGTTTCTGTGTCACTTAACGTGTCTGAACTTAGGTAATGCACAAGATCACTACGAGCTGATGTAGGCCGTTGTAATGTGTAGCGGGTGATATAATTTCATGCATTGTGCCTCTCTCTGCTGTGGGTGTGACTGAATGGAGCCGTGAGGACCGTTATTGTAAAAGTGACCTGCGTCTGATGGAGCAGCAGTGTTGCGTATCATGTGTAAGAAAGATTTCCTGCTCTGTAATTATCCTCAAACAGGAGAAAGCGGTGCCTTTATCAGGAACTATTTTCAGTGCAGGATTAATCCATGTGTGGCCGTCCAGTCGGCGTTTACCACAGCAGGATGTTGTACGTGGAATCAGAGCTGCAGCGTCTGTTGTCATGGTAATGAAGCAGCAGATCGCCGACAGTGGAGCCGTATGGCACAGAGAAACAAAACGCGCCGCAGTGCTTGTTAGTAGAAAACGTTTCTGCTGTTGATGCCAGTTCCTGGAGAGCGTTACTGTACTGACCCGACAAAACAGGCAGCCCGAAAGTTCACTAAGGTTCAGGCTGTGCAGCATCTGTTGTACTCATGAGCTCGCTGTCTGTTATTCCTGGAAAGCCCCAACTATTCCACGCTCCCCATTTCGCTGCCCACCTGGGTGTCTGGAGTAAGCCGTGGCGTTGGATACCTGCCAAAATGGCCGCTGGAGTGGAGCCGCTCGGCAGACACTCTCCAGACGCACGGGTTGGACGTTCTGGGCTTGTCGCTGTTTGTTCTCCGAGTGGTGCAGCTCTTTATCTGGTGACCCCTCCTCCTTTCTCTCCCTGCATGCTCAGGTTTCAACTTCTTTTCACTCTGTTTGGGCCTAACATGGCTTCCTCTCAGCGTTCGGCCAGAGCTGGACAGGGAGGCTGCAGGATGGGACTGCACTTCATGTGGAATCACAGTTTGAGGGAGCTGAGGTTTTCATTTTGGGGTCTCCTAGTGGGTCTCATCAGTCCGTTAATCATCTCATAGTTCCTCATTCAGATCGCTTGCACCCTCATTGTTTGCATCAGTTTGTTCTGTCCAAGAAGTCTTTGGCTGTTTTGTTCTGATGATCTGATCTTTTGCTGAGCCGTGGTCCACATGAGGGGTCCGTGGTATGTGGACTGTAAATCCTGTTAATGTGTGTGAGGTTCTGTTGGCATCGACGTCCGTAGATGGTCACGGGGATGTGTGCCGGAGTCCATCCAGGCACGCATCGATGGATTGTTATCGACTATAAAAAGCAGATTGAAATGTGATCTTTTATTAGGTGGTGCTCTGTGGCTGCATGAGAGAGCCGGGTTTTATGGTTCAGGCCAGACTTTCAGGGTGCAGCAGTGACTGGCTCAGTGGGTGGTGAAATCCACTTTATAAGAACTGATTGATTAGTGCTTTAAGTGGTTTTTCCTCCTGTTTCAAAGAGCAGTGCACAAAATATCGTCGGTCTCATTCTTAGCCGACGCTCACCTGTTGAAGCAACCAGCAGCAGCACACACCAGATATTAATGTCGTTTCTGTGAGGAAGCTGAGGCTGAAATACGATTAGCGGGCCGTGTGCAGCGAGCCGAGGATCATTAGCGAAGGAAGACGCCGCTGCTGTTTGGCCGCACACGGTGCATGTGATGTCCAACAGAGTGAAAGGAGGATTTCTTGATGCCAGTTTGAGCCGTCAGAATCTCAGGTTAAAGAAAAGGTGCTGCAGCCAGCGTCTCTTTATTTTCAGAGCGTGTCACCTTTTCTTGTGTGCAGCCACTCTGAGCGCCTCTGATTAGAAATCTGTGGCCTTTTCAGAAAATCACTGTTGCTCACTTTCAGGCGTAACGGCGGCGCTCATTACTCTGGTAACCACGAGAACGGAGGAGGCGCTTGTTCTGGCCAAGGTCCACACAAAAAATAAGAAATGGATAAAAAGGATGATTGTAGCCTTCAGAGGTTAGACTGGTGATGTGTTGTCTGAACGCTTCTGATGTTCATCGAATGTGTCGGATACATACGTGATCAACCCTCAGGTAAACATGTGATTGGTATCGGCTGATATCAATATGACGGCTGTAGATTTCTGAAGTCTTGCTTCTTTTGGATCTCCTGTTTTTTTGCTGCATCTATCTGTGATGACGGCTGCTCATCAGTCACTTGCTGTGCCTCAACTTAATCAGAACCTTTTGTTTTCAGTCCTCGTGATTTGCTTTTAAATGTCTTTCAGTCAGAGTATTTGACTATCAGCACATGCCAGCTATAACTAACACTCGGTAAGGTTTTCTAACCCGTTCACCGTCACCCTGCGTGTCTCCTCTGGGCTCCACCAGAGCTGTCCTCAGCAGACGTCAAGCTGGCGGCCGTAGCAGGAAAGAAGGGCAAGAAGGCCGAGGAGGAGGAGCAGCCTGCAGCACCTGCAGCAGCACCGCCGGCACCACCACCAGCAGCAGCAGCAGCAACGGCGGCAGCAACGGTGACAGCAGCACCAGCACCAGCAACTGCAGCAGCTACAGCAGCAGCAGCAGGAGGAGCAGCAGCAGCAGAGGAGGAGGAAGAGGAGGAGTATGTGGTGGAGAAGGTTCTGGACCGCAGAGTGGTGAAGGGCAAAGTGGAGTTTCTGCTCAAGTGGAAGGGCTTCTCAGAGTGAGTACCAGACTCTACCCCCACATCTGCTGGCTGGTTTCCCCCAGAGAGTATTAACTGAATCACTACAGACTGTAATTAAATTAAAACATCCACCATTCATGTCTTTCTTTCTCCACCTGCTCGTCTAGTGAGGACAACACATGGGAGCCGGAGGAGAACTTGGACTGTCCCGACCTCATAGCAGAGTACATGCAGAAACACAAAGAGAAGGAGGAGAAGAAGAAGGAGAGCAAGAGGAAAGCAGCAAGCGAAGCCTCGGGAGACACAGAGGAACGAGGCAGCAAGAGGAAGAAGGAGGAGGTGAGTGACCTCTGCTCTTCTCTCTGAAGAGTCCCAGCAGTTGTTTTAATCGGATCAGCTCCACTCTAACGTCTGGAGCATCACATCCCAGCTTGTTTGCTCTTCAGCCATGTGACCTCTTGTTTGTGTACTTCTGGTGTCCAGGGTGAGAAGGCCAGAGGTTTCGGCAGAGGACTGCAGCCCGAGAGGATTATTGGAGCGACGGACTCGAGCGGAGAGCTCATGTTCCTCATGAAGTGGTGGGTCTTCACCGTCATCTGTTCTGATCCGATGAGACGGTTCTGTTGTTCTTTAGCAAACGACGACAATGAAATATTAGTGAGTGCATTAAATGCAAGGGAGGGTTTCCTTCTCACTTTGGGTTCTGCACCAGGGCTGGACTGGACCGGTTCCCCCTTCATGTATGCTAATGAGCTGCTAGTGAAGTGCTGGGTGGGGGCGTGCACGAGGGCCTCTGAGCGTTACAGAGGTCTGAATCCAAGTAATTTAATAGCTTTTCAAGGTCCTAGTCCAGTGTTTCCAACCTGCTCTGGCCTCTCGGTTCTGTTATGGCCCGGTTCTCTGGAGGACAGAACGGCAACATGAAACCAGGTTGGAGTCTGCTGGAATGAAGTCTTTTATTACGCAACAACAAAAAGGAAAGATCCGGCTTGGTGCTGCTGAATAGAAGAAATAAATAATAAGGACTGTTCCTGAAGCTCTCTGCTGCTGATGCTACAAGTGACGCGCTGCGTTTAAACAGTACGCTCATTATTTAGCTAGTTTTGTGTTTTATGTGGTGCGTTTATTGCTCTGTGATTGTTCCTGTTTCTGCACCAGCCCAGAGACAACAGATGAGGTATCTTTAATCAGGCGCTGTCCTCACAAAAACGAACGTATAAACCAAACAGAGCATCAGATAAGAGCTGCCATAGAGAATCATTCTGCATGGTAATAACGAGGCTGCTTCACCTGATCGGAGCTGAACCAGGTGTCGCTGTTTGTCATTTGGATGTTTAATGTCACATATACAGGCCAGATTTATTTATTTCTAAGTGAAACATCTGAGCTGAACATGTTTCCACCCATTACACCAATACAACTACAAGTCAGTACGGTACCAATGCTGTAACTTCAGTGACGTGGGGAGTGTTTCACTTCAGTCATGATTATTACTGAGGTTCTAGTTAGG